CAGCTCAAACAGTCCTTTACAGTTGAGAAATGTACACGAGAGAGACTGGGGGGAGAGCGCAGTTGATCGACCCATGTGCCATAAAGAATGAACATCTATTAGGATGCAACGTGGTGTTTTTACAGAGCAATAGAGCAGAGCTGTAAGACCAATGCTGCACAAAACTAAGCTGAGTGAAAAGAAGTTGTGAATTTTTTTGAATTTCCTTTGTGTTATTGACATATAATTTGTAACAAACCTCATAAAAAAATCAGAGCACTGGAGCAGTGATAGTAAAGGAACAGGCTGTCTTGTTCTAGGCACAACATGAAATCCAAAAAAAAACGTTTGAACTGATTTATCATAAGGTTATAGCTCACATTTTGTACTACGTCTTAAAACATAGTGTCGTTATTCATCCCCAAAGTCGTGATAAGTGTGACGACGAACTAACTTTGTTCTAAGATTTTTAAAGTTGAAAAAAAATGTGCGTCCCTCATTTCTCCAGCAAATACTGTAAAGCAAAGGTTCGGATCATGTGTTTAAACTAATATTCCTCAACTTTTCCCAAACACTTTGAACGAGAGCCTTTTATTGACGGAGAGTGATGCCTTGAGCACAGAGCGAGTAGTGGAAGAGGGGTGTAGGGTCGGAGAGTGTTTGGGCCTGTGTGTTGTCAGCGTGTGTGTGTATATTATTGTATTGCTGTTTGTAATATACAGTTCCATGTTTGAGAATAGTATGGCATGATATCGTTAAAACAGTTTGTGTTTACAGTTTATGATGGCGGTTGAAGCATTTTCTTTATCCAACCCCTTTTTTGAACCAGGTACAGGTTTATTTGTCTGTTATGTTGATATATGTAAAAACAAGTATTGAGCAGGTTCGAAATAAAAAAAATTAAATGGGTGTGTTATTATCAATCGTATCAATCCTTTTTTGAGGTTATTGTTTCCGGTGACAAATAGCATTTGAGACTCGTGCATGAGAACTAACTTAAAGTGAATGTCAGTTACTTTACAAACTGGAAACAGAGAGTCAAACTTTTTGAAGACAAGCACTGGCCAGACCCGCACTTGCTCACCCCTGCAAATTTCCTCAACATTCATTTAAATCCTTGAGGCCCATTGTCATTGGTTGACAACAGTTTTTTAAATGTATCCACAAATTAGAAAGTCAAATAATCAGTATGCAGGAAATTGAATAACAAAAAAACACAAGGTAGAAAGGGGTTCCACAACTGTCCCATTTCAAGGCCCTGCCCTCCATCTGAAGTGAACACAACTATTGTCAGGAAGGAACGCACATCAACAACGCACACAGTGTCACGTGTAACATATTCCAGATTGAAGACAGAGTGATCCGCATGCTCTTAGTGTGTACTTGTTGAGAAGCCGTAAACACCTGCAGCAGAGCGGTCTGTGCTGTCACGAGGAGCTCTCATTCCGGTCCTCTGTTAGGACACACTGTATGAGACCTTTTCCAATCAGGAGGTGACAAAGCTACTCTGTGCCGTTCATCTACACATTTAGAATATCTGCCTGAGCGCATGCTTTTGAGTAGAAGGTCACATTGCTCAAACCTCTAAAACACATGATCCCATTACTGATGTTACTTAATATTTATTAATAAAGTCCAATATAAAAAGAGTATGTGTTGTAGAATGTTCAGATACAAATCTACTATAAACTGTAACTTTGTGCACAAATAAATGAATAAAAAAATATAAATATTTTACAGTCACTTCAGTCTTGCACTAGTGCCCTGCTATTGCCACTGTGGTCATGGAATCTCTAAAACTCTAAACTAAAATAATGAACCATTTCAAAATCATGTGTTGTTTTCTTTCAATGGGAAAAATATGTAACTATAACACTGGTAAAAGAAAAAGTATAATATTGGTTATTTTCTACGAATACAGATGATATCTCACAAACATCATTCTTAAAGTCCAAACAACTTTAACCTGTAAGATTTTGTTTCCATGTTTAACCCTATCTAACTTTTGTATTTTGCAAGTTTCACCTATCCATCACATGCCTTATCATCAGCATGTGACAGAGATATGTTGAATATCCAGTCTAAAAAAAGAACATGTCAATTGCTTAAAGCTGTCATCACAAAAACAATGAGTCAATCAGGGTAGAGTCTTTCTGTGCTTCATACTTAACACTTACTGTATGTTAAAGTGAAAGTTGACGTTTTAATCAATAAAGAATCTGCCCTTGAAAACCTTTGCTAATGTGTTTAAAATAAGATTGTTCCGCAGGGTCAGTGTGCACATGATTGCAGAGTGATGAAGAGTGCGTTTGGTGGTGGGCATCTCCTCAGGGAGCAGCTGCAGCAGCATTTCTACACATGCTCTTTGAAGCACAATCCAATAACTCATTTTATGCAAATGTTGTTTAAGATGGAAGAAAACCAGCCCTTGATGTTAACGCTCACTAACTGTGCTCTTAGCTGATCTGTCCCAAATTGCAAATGAGCAATATGTTTAGAAATAACAATTTAATATATTTCCCATCACTATGTGATTGATTGACTTTGTGTACAGGGATTATATTAGTTATACATGGGGTAAAGCTGAAATTCCATTGAAGATAGGGGACTAACTTTTTAAAATGAATAATACAAGGAAAGAGTCTTGTAAAAGAACAATGTTGGGAATAAATAAGGCCACATGATGCCTTTGTTTTTATTAAAAAACATAATATAATTTGCATGCTTTGCAAGGCTGAGAGCTGATTGGCTGTACTTGACGTGATAGAAGCCAAAGATACATACATGTGAACCCTAGCGATACAGCCAAACTGTGTTTCAGAGAGAATTCATTAGATTTCATTAATTTTTTAACACAAAAAAATCTACAAGTCTAAAACAAACATCATTATTGAATTTGTGTAAGCCCTCAGTCGTACAGGGATTAGTCAAAGCAAAGGAAGGTTTCTCACCCATCATCTGTACTAATCATTATTGAATGTTTCCATCCTGCCCTATAATGCGCTGAAGCTGATCATTTAGAAATATTTGTTTTTAAATAGGATAATACAATCCTCCTTTTTTCTGTTTGGATTACAAGACAGATCATGGCGTTAAAATGTTTCACTTCACTAAATGCAAATATTACTGAGGGGCAAGGTTGAAAATATATTTTAGTGTTTTTTCACAAGTGGCTCTCGACCATGGCTCTGCAACGCTGTGCCTAGGTTACAAATTTACATAAGATTGCAGTTGGCGGGGCTGTTGCGAGATAAGCTTCTGTGGAAGTCTCTGATGGTGTGTTTGGCCAGAAGTGACACACACAAATGCACTTATCGAAAAAGCGCAGAAGATAAAGAGAGGAAAGTTCACAGAAAAAAACAAGGTCATGTCAGATGATTAACATAAAAGAAGAAACTGGGGATGTAGCTGTTTGCTGCAGGTGTTTCAATCAGTCCAATCTTAGTAACAGGGTGCTTCTGGAAAAAGTCTCAAATACTGTCTAAAACCATTTATTTAATTGGGCAACTCAACTCAAACATGTTTTGACTCAGAACAGACTTCATCAGGTCTAAAAAGTGACACCTTTAGGAAGATAAGTATAGGCCGATTGTTTACTGGTATAACATGCTTCTTGAAATAGCAGTACTTGTTCATGTATTGGCAAAAAGGTTAATTATTTAGACTACTTCTGTATGCGCTCATAAAGCCTTTTGTTATCACTGCATGTTGTTATTGTGTTATTATATCAGTGACAATGGAGAGAATGCACAAGATATAACTTGTTCTAAAAATGCACAAACTGATTCAAAAGGCTCTTCTTGTTCAGATTGTGCCTGCTTAACTTTGCTGATATGACAAAGTGCATGGAAATGGAGGTGTCAAAATATGTTTCAAAACATACATATTGTAAAGATCTATTATATAGGTAATCCTAAAAATATGTGTATATATATATATATATATATATATATATATATATATATATATATATATATATATATATATATACATATATATATATATTTTTTTTATATTTTATTTGTAGAGTCCATAAAATCCTACGTGGAGAGTTAGGTGGTATTTTCAAGCCATTCTTCTCACACGTCCGCATTTCTTTTAGAGAACCCTATACTTTGAATTCAAAGTCACTGAGAAGTAAACAGACAAGTAGCATACACTGCTGCAAACATGAGCCCTCCCCTCAAACCTAGTCTGTTGTGGAATTACCGCCATGTGCGCTCAAATGCATGTTATATTATAACAACTTTGTCCGGATTGGTCCATGTCAGGCAAACGGTATTTTTATAGAGCAGCTCATTGGTTGCTGTGCCCGCCTCTGTAGTGAAACACATCGCAGAGCTTCCAGACAAGAAATCCGTGGGCGTCTGTACTATGAAAAAGTAGTCCTCATTGCGCACGCATCTTTTCACCATTTTCCGCTGATTAAAGTCTGGTTACAATTTTGATTCGTGGTTTTTGCTCAAATATGAACTCTTAATTGAGGATATTTACTTTGTGTTTTTGAGGTTTGGAAGAAAGTGTCGAGTTGTATTGGCGGCGGAGGGATATCCGTATCACGCTCCGCGTCAAAATATTGCCTAGTGGAGACCGCGCCAAAGCTCAGACAGCGCGCTTCTTCAGCTCACTGCAGAGACACTCTGCTCTCACTCAAGCTGCTGCTGCTGCTGTGCGCTCCTCAAACATCCTCTGATCGCCCTTTTGGGACTGGCTTTATTCACCACGCTTCGGGCAAGCTCTCTTTGATACCAATCATCAGGAAATGTTTTTCAACTCTACGGTCGTGACCCACGTCTGACGGGGCGGTGCGGCTGACTTGCCGCACTATTGGACTGGATATATTAGAGCTTTCACTGAAGACGGTCCGCGCCCACATCTACACTATCTTACTACGACTGGATACACTTTTGCCTCCACCTCAGTCATCTGACGGGATAGGAATTTGACTGTACTGGCTTTTCACTTTGAATATGTTGCTGTCAAAGTTTGGTTCATTTTCGCACATTTGCAGTCCATCAAATATGGACCACCTCCCAGTGAAGATACAGCTCCAGCCGGGTAAGTCAACGACAGATACTTTTTGTTTTACTCGAAAGATCGAGTTTTTCTTGTCCAGATTCATTTACTTTCGGTTAGACCGACTTGTAAAGCTGTGTGGCGCATAACGTTACTCAACCTGACCTCGCTCACACTAAGCGGGCTATTGTGGGAATAGGACTCGGCTCGTCTTTAAGCGCGTTGAGTAACCACCAATTGTCTTCGTTTCTTTTACAGTCAAACTGGAGAAGGAGCCTTTTGAGAAGATTTACCAAGTGGGCTCTGTCCTGGGGAGCGGAGGCTTTGGCACTGTGTACGCTGGGAGCCGGATTTCTGATGGTGCGCCGGTAAGTGGCTGTGTTATGATGATCCATGTGCCGCCATCAAAGCGCCCGTCTTTACGCATGGAATGTCTTCTCTTTGGATTGTTCCTAACGTGGATGTTTGTTTCTATAGGTTGCTGTAAAACATGTGGCGAAGGAACGAGTGACCGAGTGGGGCACACTTGTAAGTAGTAGCCTAATTCCCCACGCTTAGTGTGGTTTGTTTTGGTCCCCCTCCCATGAATGCCGGGTGGGGGATGTGTGAAAGTAGCTCCAGTCAATGTGAATACGCTGCCTAATGCATCTCATGTGGATTTTAACGAAATGCTTTGCTTGCAGAATGGATCCGTGGTGCCTTTGGAGATCGTGCTGCTAAAGAAGGTCAGCTCGTCTTTTCGTGGTGTTATCAAATTGCTGGACTATTACGAGCGCCCGGATGGCTGGCTCATCGTTATGGAGAGGCCGGAGCTCGTCAAGGACCTCTTTGACTTTATCACTGAGAAGGGCGCACTGGACGAGGACATGGCCCGAGGATTGTTCCGCCAGGTTTTGGAGGCGGTCAGACACTGCTACAGCTGTGGCGTAGTGCACAGAGATATCAAAGATGAAAACCTGCTTGTGGATCTACGCACCGGGGACCTCAAGCTTATTGACTTTGGCTCGGGGGCGATTCTCAAGGACACGGTCTACACTGACTTTGATGGTAAGAGCCATGTTGGAACTATTTGCAATTGAAATAGGCATGATACATAGTAATTTCACTGCACTAGATTAAAATAGCCTGTCGTGCTGGCTGCGCTGTGTTTGCCCTTGATGCTCCCGGTGCTATATTCAGCCATGGAGGCGCCGTGACGCTGTGACGCAGTGTCTGTTTTTGGTAGAGGGTTTCCTACGCGTTGCACTGATCACACGTCTATTTTATGGTCTTTTTAATAGAAATAAACATTTGAAAGCTGTGACGCATTTGTTATGGATGCAGATATATAAGACTAAGACTTCATCAGGAGTAGGGGTTTACCCATGTGAGCCACAAACGTTTCCGTTGTATTTTGAACGTACTTTTTTTTTTTCTTCCTGTTTTTGTTATTTTGTCGGGAAATCATGTGTCACGCGTTCTCCTTGGCGGTGATAGGTCAGTGCCACGTAACATTTGTTTGTTGTGAAACCTGAGTCGGCGGTTCACGTGATGGTTTTTTTTTTTTTGGGATCCAAGCTCCCTCCTTCCGAGCAGTGAGGGGGGAGGCGATGGCGCGGGTCAGCCACTTTGTGTACTGTGGCCAAATAGAAGATGGAAAGCATTTCAGCCATGACTCAGCCTTTTAAACACGTTTTATTTCTGCTTTTTTTTTCATTGCTAGACCTATTCAGCAAACCCTGCCATTGTACTTATTCCCACTAGCATTAATCTTATGTTTTATCTCAATCGTACAGCCTGATTTCCCAAAAAACTTGCATTAACACAAACCTTCTTTACTTTTATGTTTTTAGGTACTCGAGTCTACAGTCCACCAGAATGGATTCGGTTCCACAGGTACCACGGGCGGTCTGCGACTGTGTGGTCACTAGGCGTTCTTCTTTATGACATGGTGTGTGGAGACATCCCATTTGAGCAAGATGAGGAAATCCTGAGAGGCAGGCTATACTTCAGGAGGAGGGTTTCTGCAGGTAAATTTCACCCCTAACCACCAAAATTGTATAGTCTCTATTGCCCTCTAGCCTCAGCAACCAGAACTGCTCATACAGGAATCAAACAAGCCATTAATGTCAGTTTTAGTTAACAGTCTTACACAATTGCAAATGAGACAAAATACAAACTACAGATTCATTGAACAGTTTTTACTCAATATTAAATGCTAACAGTTTAATCTAATAAACCCAACATAAAATTGGTAACTTTAGCCAATTGACTTAAGAAAACAAAATTGAAAGTGTTGGCTGGTTTTATTTTTAGAAAGCATATTATAACACATACATTAAAAAGCCCGGTGAGAATATGTGTAGTCTTTCCACTGGCTGCCACCTACACAGTAGCATACTGTAAATCCACTTGAGTGAGTCACTCTAGCATCGCTCACAGTTCCCGTCATAACACTTTGTAACTTTGCATATTGTTTGCTTTTGAGTCTCAAATGCCATGTAGTCTTTGCAAACAGATCTATTTCCAGTCAATACACATTTCACTAATCTATATATATGTGTATTTGTTTTTAGAGTGCCAGCAGCTCATCAAGTGGTGCCTGGCTCTGCGCCCTTCAGACCGGCCCACGCTGGAGCAGATCTGTGACCACCCCTGGATGAGAGCAGCAGGCGTGGAGTCCTCCCCAAAGTCGCCGGAAGAGCCCAGTGTCAACAGTGGGGACATCCGACTTCGCACCATCGATACGGACTCTTCGTCAAGCACAAGCTCAAGCAAGGAGAGCCTCTGAGGGCGGGGCACAAACTCTCTGGACTCAATTCAAAATGGACGCTGAAAAAAGACAGTCCAGCCCACCACAGGCTGTGAAAAATGTATTTTAATTTTCCTCTTTTGTAGGGAATTTCTAATTTATTACTTTTGCTTATCTTCTTCTTTTACTTATACTTGTTTCCTTAAATGGGAACATTGAACTGTTTGGGTGGTCTTACCAGCAATATTTATTTCTCTTTTTTAATAACTTTTTTTTGTTACTAGGCTGGTATATGCAGCTGGCAAGGCTCTCCTATCAGATTGCTCTCATAGAGCTCACTTTTTTATTATTTAAATGTTTTCATTTTGATTTTGGAGTGCCTTTTTAATGGAACGCTGCTTTTTTGGGGGCTTTCCACTTATCAACAACTATCTTATTGTGGATCGCCCAGAGCCTGGCAGTGACGTTAAGTTGTATAGTGAAGGTTGATGACCTTGACCCTCATTGTACAACTGGCCTGTAACTCGAGGGGCTTATTTGACAGGAGAAGCGAAGGAGATGGTAGTGGGGGCCGTGCTACAAAGAAATACTTGAAATATACTCTTTTAAACTGCTGCTCACTCACTCAAGCCTGAACAGGTGTTTTGGAAACTGGATCCTGTCTTTTCTGAATGTCGCTCCTCACAAAACGCGCCCCCTCCCCTCTCCTCCTTTTAACTTGACTTTCTACTACTAGTCTCTTGAAGCCTTCACCGCCATGTCACTGCTACTACAACACTACAGCCCCCCCGCATCCTTTGGGGGCAAGAATGCACAATCAATGCAATATTCATGGACTCAAAAATATTGTACAGCTTGTTTTATTTTTGTGTGTACATTTTCCCCTTTGCATTTAATTTATTTGTAAAACATGTAGACATTCCACACTCTTGTGGCTATTTATTTATTTATTGTCTCTGCTTAAAAGCCCCCTTACATTTTTCGGCATATCCTATTGGTCTTTTTCTTTCATTCCTAACTTATTTTTTACATTCAACATTTTTTGAGTTGAGGAGGATGCACTGAAGCAAGTTGTTGATGTTGAACATAATAAAACAGTTTACTTAAATTTTATAGAGCAAGGATTGTTATTTATAGTCTTTAAAATATGCCTTTTATGTCAAAAGTATATGAGCTCCATCTAATTTATGTTCTGTCAATATGATTTATGTGCAAGTGAAGTAAAAAATCAACAAAGTGCTGTCAAAGTTATCACATAGCCTCAAACTCAACATCTTTCTGTTTTGCGGTGTAACTTGTGGCACTGAAGGATGGATATTGCTATTTTTTGATACAAGAATTTCAATTAAACTCCCATTTTTATGTACAGAAATACATTGTGTGTCTTATCTGTGTCAACTGCTACTGAAGTCAGAACACACTTACATTTAGTCCTCGCAGTCATAATTTTAAGATTCTGCTATGATATGCAAAATGTGGAAGTTTTTTATATGTATGAGTAAAGGCAACTATATATCAAGATCAAGTCTGTCTTCAGTCAACATATATTGGATCTAGCAACACAAAATCCTTTCTAATTTGATCTCTCAGTCCACCATGAGATCTGGCCATCGCATTTGCATATGTACTGTATAAACACGAGATTAGGCTGCTTGTATGGGTAAAAAGAGTCTGCTCCCTCTGCGATAGGCTGCTGAAGCCACAGTACTGATCAAAAACAGATGAAACAGGAGAGGTGGGGGCATGCCACATAAGCAGTAGCAAGTGGAATATATCGAACTGGTTTTCCATGGCCCAAACCACTAACGTACAATCACAGAAGTGGATGAAGTTATGCGTAAATCTGTTGGTTATTATTGTCGGCCAGTGCAATGTGTGGGAAAGGGTCCCGTAAGAGACAGGGTGTAATAGATCCTTGGGTGTACTTTCTAAGGAGGTGCTGCCCCCTGTGGTGAATCAGTGCATGGATTTGAGAGTCACACAAACCCACTGTAATAATCATCAGAATCAGATTTCTTTAATTGCCATTTCGCTTTCCATCGGTCATATAGATCAGAGAAGTCATGGCTTACAATAGTTTACAGTATCTTAGACCATGTCCTCAAGAATGCACATTTATACAGAAGGGTGCAGTGTTTCAGTCCTGATGCATTAGTAACTTAATTATAAAAACAGTGAAAGAAATCCTTTAGGTTTATGCATAGCTAAACAGAGCTGTGTTTAACCTGGATTTGAACATTGCCAGAGAAGAAGCCTGTCTCACGTTTTCAGAAAGACTGTTCCAGATTTTAGCCGCATAAATCTGAAACACTGCCTCCCCATGTTTAGTCTTGACTCTGGGCACCGTCCGAGTTGGTCCATGTGGCACTAACACACCAACATGTCACAGATTTCATTCATTACGTCATGCAGTATGTAGTGGCAGGGAAAACTGGAGCACACGGGGGAAACCTATGCAGACACAGGGAGAATATGCAACCTCCACAGAGAAAGGCCCATTCTGAAGATGGAATCTAAATCAGGACTCTCTTACAGTAACTTTGTCCCTTTTTTGTCATGGGTCACATATGATCCATGACAAATAAAGATTATTAACTATGATATAAAAAAAGTTAGCTACCCCCAGCTATGGATTTGAGGTTAGCCAAATTGAGTTTCCTTTTTTCCATCCAAACATGCACAGATGATATCTTAATGAGGCACATGGCAAATAAGCCTGGCCGTCTGACTCCGTGTACAAGTGGGGACATATGGGCCCTTGAGCACTCAATAAGACTCAATAAGGGTCATTAAATCCATGTAGATGCATATTAGGAGTGTGTTTATTTATTGCTTATGTTGCGTGCCCCATAATTCAGTGTAAACATTACTTTAATAGCACATTTTTTTTGAAAATTCTTGATACATTTCTTCAGCATTATAAAACACATAGTTTGTGTATACAGCGCTGCCCATTGTGTTGATGTGTTGACTTCTTGCTTGCAGACGGTCTAGCATTTGTGTATGAAAGGCATTCTTCCAAAGTATTTGTTGAAATGCATTGGCGGACATAACGGGGAGTAGGCTGGATTACATGCAATCCATTTTTTCAGTGTCTCTGTGCTTTTGACATGCAAATAGCCCTGTAACTTATCTTCATCACGAGCCTTCTGCTCTGACTATGGGGCTATGGGGGGTATGATCCACACCTACTGTGAAATCTTCATTAAATGTCTGGGGCAGATGCCTTGCTGTTGTCTCTTATTTTTTGCCTTTTTTTTTAGTAAAATATCTTTTTTAAATAATCATGTAATATATAATTGAGCAGCCCTATCTAATATGGATATGCTGTGTGTTAGGCAAAAAAACAAACAAAAAAACCCACTGTGCTTCACAATCTCTTGGACATTGGCAAATGTTGACGACTGCCCCTGTGCAAATTCTCAGGGTAGAATGGTAAATAGTGCAATTGTACCATTTCTGAGGACGTAAAGATTACAGTAAGTGTGTTTCTTAATGTCAGGCTGTCCCTTTGTGCATGCTGTTCACATGCAATAGCTTCCATTGTTCTGTTTATCTGTGAAAGCTTTCGTGGTGCTCGGCTGCAACATGGACAAATGTTTTGTAAGAAAAAGGTTTTTACAACGCAACAGTGTGGAGGGATTTGGATGCACTTTTCCAGTTCACACAGTGAAGAACTATACTATTACAAAATGTAAAAACTTTGTATGGCCAATTTAGTACAGTCATTTATCTTTGTGTTTCTATATTTGACATGAGTATAAAGGTCCATTCCTTTATGCGTGAGATAGATGTTTATACAATTGCTTTGAGTTTAAACTAAAACATGTACGTTCCACAATCATGCATTATTTTAGTGCTTTTTTCCACTGCGAGAAGACACCAGTGATACAACTTGTAACTTGGCAGAGCGAAGTCACATGGTTGAAGGAAAGTTCAACACAAATGGACACCATTAGGACGGTTGCCCTTTAAATACAGTTAGGGCCATGTTTTTACTCTTGCTGTAATTTGTATCTTACATTTTCATTTTTTATTTTTTCATTTATTTATTTATTTAATATGGACATAGCAATTAACATTGGACGAACCAGATGCATTGTTTAAAGTGTTATAGCACAAGTGCTAATTTTCAACACCTGTCCATAGGGGGCTTTTAGGTTACAAAGATAAAACACATTAGGAAACAAGGTTACAATAAAACACATTATTAAACAAGATAAGACATGTTTTAAACATGGGAACAAGTTTGGCCCGATTTGAGCCACTGTTTAAGCTCTCTGGTAAAGATGTTGATATTATTCTGCAGTTTCAGTGCAGCTCGACTGTCCAAAAGATTTTCTAAACTTTGGGAGCACACAATCCCCGCTAACTGAGGCTCTGGTGGAAGGTCTGAGAGAGCCCTGACACCTCACCATGAGGCCAGAGAACAGTGGTGACACACAGTTGTTCAGACATTTAAAAGTCAATTTCATTATACTAAAATTTACAAAGTTTTCAAAAGTAAAAAGCTTGTGCTTTTGTATGATATCACAATGATGCCATCTCAAAGGTTTCTTGTCGAATATCTTGATTGCCTGTTTATACAGAGAGGTGACTGGTTTCAGAGTGGATGCCGATGTTTGTGACCATGCTGTAATGCAGTATGACAGATGTGAAAAAACCATTGCATGCATATACAATAAAGCCGCGTGATGTGATAACTCTCTTCTTATAAAACGAAAACAGTTCAGATTTGATTTGACTTTCCTGCAGACGTTATTTGCTTGACTTTGGAACTTCAGGTGTTTATCTAAGATAATGCCCAAGTATTTTGTTTCATGAACCTCCTGAATGGGTTCATGTTCTAATTGAACCTCAAAGGTGCTGTCAGGGGACCTCCGGCTGATAGAGAAACATATTGAGAATGTTTTCTTTACATTTAAAGTTAAATGGGACAGTTGAAGCCATCTTGAGATGTTATGTGAAGCCTGTGTTAACAGCTGCCCAGCCAGTGCAGATGTTTTTGCTGACACATGAATAACTGTGTCGTCAGCATA